ATAACGCAGTTGTAGTTTACCCTGAAGATTTTGCTACAAGAAAAACAAAAAACACATTATTTGAGGTGAAAAAAAAAATAAATATCTGGAAATCAATGAGAAGCTTCAACAGCATGGTCACCCCACCACCCCCGCCCCCCAAAAAACAAAGTATTTAAGAAAAGGCAGAATCTATTTGAAATATTCATTTTGACTGTTTTGGAATTTCATAGACTCAGGGCGGAGTCTAAGAATCAATCTCAACAGCTGTCACCAGTGGAGACTGCAGGGAATTGGCTGTGTCTATGAGGCATCCTGTGGGATTTTCTATAGATTTTAATGTTTTACCCATGCGCAAGAGTACAGCAGTGACATCGGCTCTGAAGGGGACCCACTGGATCAAGATGGCTGCACCTGTGAGGGACAGGTTCAGGTAAATAAACTTTTACCTGACCCTGCCTGCCCCCATGCACCAGATCCCCAGCGGCAATGTCACCATTGAGGGACTTTACGAATTCAGCAAAATCCCCAAACAGTGACAGTGGCACTTTAATGTTACATAAAGTTTAGAATAACAGTTTTTTTTTTTTTTATATAGCATATCATTTACATATTACTTACTATTTACTCCCTAGTTTAAAGAAGTAAACAAACTTATTATGCCAGTAACAAATTGCATGTGGTGTACCGGTTACCCGTGTTTGAAGTGGGTTGCCACTGGACATGCTTCCCACACTGTCCCTACTGCAGTGACAGCATGGGGAACTTCTTGTTGTTAGCAGTGGTGGGGGAGAAGGTTACCATGGTTTGTTCACATGGTGTTATATGTACTAGGTGATTAATTATTACAAAATACATGAGCGTGTTTTGCAAAACACGCTCATTAGACCTTTCCAAGTGTCAGAAGAATTTCCACTGCACTGTGGAAGGTAGTGCAATATGTTGTGTTCAGTTGCCTGGGGTCTGATGAATGAGATTTTTCTAAGTGCTGTACTGTGAAAAGCTGTGTAATGTTCTAACAGTGAGCAGTCACCATGGAAACCAATGGAATCACCAACAACATTGTACTGATAACTATCCCTCAGTCTTGCAACATTGGGAACTAGACTTGCGTAAAAATGCATTTCAGATGGGTTGTACAAATTAAATTCCTTTTAATCTATGCCCGAACAAATCATTCCATTCAGGATTAACCTGTGGAATCTTATTCAATCCAGATCAATCTATGTTCGAGCATAGATTAAATGTGTCTGATTCGTTCAACCCACCTGAAAGGCTTTTGTGCGCAAGTCTATGGGCAATCATCTCTCTCTATTAAATATGGTCCCAAAACAGGTGTTGAGATTCAGATTCCAGAGGGATTCCAATACTGATCACTATACAATATACAATACGTTCACTACCTCTTGTCAAGAATAGTGTTCCATTTCAGAACTAGGTAGTGTTTGGTTGAAGTTAGGGGAAAATTACAGTTACAGAATACTTTGCAGGGTTGTCTTTTGTCATTCTATATGTTACTAAGTAATGAAATCACATAATTAGCACAATGTCTGAGGTTGGTTAATAACAATTAAAATATTAACAATGTTTAACCATACAGATAATTAATTAATATATTAATGTATAAAATGTAATAGAATGTTACCCCAGACGCCCAATTCCTTAACCTCTGGATGAATTTGGTTGCAGTCGCCATCTTTCTGGTCAAGGACAGGGGAGGTGCTACCTAGTACTGTGGGAGGAGGAAAGTGTCAATTTATAATTGCAAACAAATACAACAAGACAATATTTAGGAAGCACAGGTGAATAGCAGTAAAGTCAAGCGCCACATCACAAGCGACATTATAAGCTTCAAACAATTAATCTGTGTAAAAAAAAATAAAAAAAATCGCAATAAAGTTACAATTATTTATTTAAAAAAAAAAAAAAAAGCTCTCAGGACATCAATTGCCCGTTTTCAATATGGCTCGGAGCACTTCCGGGCGTCTTCGGTTCCAGCTTTCAACATGAAGCAGAAGGAAGGAAGCGGTCGCATTCTAAAATGGCGACGGATCGGTTCCTATTGGTCGATTCAGTTCTCGATGGCGAAGCCCCGCCCTGAACCTATAAAAGGTGGCGACTGAACCACGTGACCCCTCTTCTGACTCCAGCAGCCATAATGGAAGCTAGCCGCGTGCAGCCCATCAAGCTCGCCCGGGTAATTGCCGCATGTTCCATAGTTACTGTGTGTCGGGTGTCATGGGGCCCGGGTAGCGGTAGCGGGATGGGGTCGGGAGGGGACAGGGATCTCTTATTGTGACCCTAGGGGGAGAGATCTGGGTTTAAATGTGTGCAATAGACATGATGCATGGACCCTGGGCCTTGGCTCTGGCTCTCCCATCAGATTAGATTCACTTTGTTTCAGGGGGTAACATGTTTGAGCCCGGGGGGGCCTCTCACAGTGATCCCCTGACTGTACCCCACTCTAGCACTATGTATCAAACTGAACAATAAAGCTTCACTGCCATGCAGGCTTGCAGCA